TATCGATTGATGGCATAATGAGCTTCTGCCAATCCTTGTCGGAGATTTTATCTTTGCGCGCAAGTTCCTTGGCCAATTTACTGTCGCACTGCTGACTCACTGCTTGGCGGCACGAATACATGTCGAAACCAGAGCCCCCCCATCTGGCCCATAGAAGAGCATCTACCTCTGCGGGGTACAAAAAAGCTTTCACCAGATCGGCCCCAAGTTGATAGAATTTTCCATCATCAAAGATACACGGCTTGAATACAGTGTTTCGCTCGCCTCTGAACATATCAATGAATTTGGCAGTTGCGATGGCAGGTTGCTCGTCGTCTCTCTTTTCTGCTGCTATCCAATGGTTGGACACCATGAAAGCGTGCGTCCTCGAACACAAGCTTTTGCCGCATTCCGAAATTCCAATCCATAGAATACCGTGTTCTTTATGTGTGGCAATCTTATCTTTCAGCACCAAATCCAAGAACCACGGTTTCAAATCCTTGTAGGTGGTGAAATTGAAGTCAATCGTTTTGGCAGTTGTCGCGCCTCTCGCACAACATTCCGAAAACGATCTGCACTTTGCTTCAGGCCAATCCAATATCGGGCTTCCTGGTTTTTTTGCCCACACATCCACCCACTCTGCGAACTGTCCTTCATTGTTCGAGGACGGCCTCATCTTGCGCATAAATGCATAACCGGCTGAGATTTTGTTGAAATCAACCACCTTCTGCACATCATCATTTCCTTGCCATTTTCCGCATCGAATCTGAAACCCACCAAGCCCTTCGAATATCTCCTGGAATATTTTTTTAGAGCTCCAAGGGTTGTGAGGCCACCAGCTGTGGCAGTAAGTGGTTCCGCACGCGAATTCTTCCGTCACTTTGATCAACTTTTGTTGTTCTTCGAACATAATGTGTTTGATCACGTGCCACTTATCGTCAGCGGGCACAATCGCCAATTGCATGGTGCACGCTACTTGCCACGAACTCGAAGGACCGAACGGTTGCGGTAACTTGTCGTAGCTGCCCGTTTGCATTTGCTGAGCTATCAATCCTTTCACATGGTCATTGTAACTGCCATCCCACCCTTCACTCCACTCGCTACTTCCATGGAAATCATTTGAAAGCTGCTTGATGATATTCTGTGCATTATTGTCGAACTTCCCATCCCAATCTAAAACGCAATCAACCACCCACCTGTTTTTCTGATTAATGTTCCCATGTGGGTATGGGTAAACAGGCAAATCAGAAATTTCGGTCACAACGGGCGCCTGCCACTTGATAATCGGATTTTCCGTAGCAAACTGCAACTTCTTGTTGGTAACTTCCTTGTCCGTATCTGCCAGGATTTGATTTGTCTTCCCTGGCGAGTCCAATACAACGCCCAACGTCTTCACGCCGCCGCATATGACGTTAGCCATCAGCTAACCTTATTGCCAACAAGCAGTCAGCGTAACTCGTCTGCTGCCTAAGCTTGAGCCTCTGAGGCGAGGAGAAGGAGAGGAGGAGGCAAATGGTAATAATGATAACATATAACGAAAATGGATAATGATACAATAACTGAAGATTATGGTAATAATACATATCATACTCTATTATGATAGATGAATTGAAGCGCAGTTACCTTCAGAATGCACTTGGCGCATTCTCTGAGATCTCTCGTCGCACCGGCAATCTCCCTCTCCCAGCGGCGGCCGAAGACGCAAAAGGCCTTCGACAATCGGAATCAGAGAGCAGGGCGGCCAAGAGCGCAAATGATGATTATGATAATGATACATATAATGCAATATGTATAAAAATATATTAAAGCGCAATTATCTTCAGAGCACGCTTGGTGCACCGGTCTCGCCCCCAGCGCCGACTGAAGAATGCACTTGGTGCATTCTCTGGAATCTCTTGTCGCACCGGCAATCTCCCTCTCCCAGCGGCGGCCGAAGACGCGAAAGGCCTTCGACAATCGGAATCAGAGAGCAGGGCGCCCAAGACGCCAGTGGCGCGCTAAAAAATAACCCTGCAACCCTCGGGGGCTGCCGCCCCCACCCCCACCTAGGGGTGCTGGACGACCGCGGCGCCATCCCCCGAGGGCCCAGGGCTTGTCGTCGTCGTAGTCGTCGTCTTCGCCGCCGTCGTCGCCGCCGTGGAGGGGGAGAGGGGGGAGGGGGAGGGAGGGGGGGAGAGGAAGGGAGAGAGGGGGGGGGAAGGAGGAGAGAGGGGGGGAGGGGGAGGGAGAGGGGGAGGGAGGAGGGCCCTCTGGTAGCGCTTGAGCTCTGCTGCTGAGCTCCCTGCTTGCTGTCCTCCTCCTCCTCTTCCTCCTCCTCCCCCTCTTCCTCCTCCTCCTCCTCCTCCTCCTCCTCCCTCTTCTCTTGGCGTTCCCACTTTTCTCTTTTCTCCCTCTCCGTCGTTCCTTTTTTTTTGTCTCTCCTCCTGCTTTTTCGTTTTCTATGCCTTTGCAAATAAATGCATAGGTCTGGGGGCCAAAAACGCCCCTGGGCTTTTTGGGCACTCTCTCTCCTACTACTACCACTCGGTCCCGCGCACCACGTCACCACGGCTCAACCGCCTTGGGAAGAGCGTCCTTGTGGCTGCCTCATTTCCAGTATGTAGCGAGCACCTCTTCTGGGTGAAATGGCGGGTTTGACGCGCACGCAGCGGCGGGCGCTCATCCGAGAGCAGCTGGCCCCCACGGCCCAAAGTAAAGCGACAGCGGCGGCGCAGCAGCACACGGGGCGACCCCAGCACCGCCATCGAGGCCAACGAGCGCAAGCAGGCGCGAGAAGAGGCCAGGATGGCAAGCCAAAATGGCTAGGGGCACAGCGGCGTCGCGGCAGCACGCGGGGCGACCCCAGCACCGCCAACGAGGCCAACGAGCGCAAGCAAGCGCGAGAGGAGGCCAGGATGGCAAGCCGAAATGGCAAGCCAGAATGGCTAGGCGCACAGTTGGCCGCGCGAAGAGGGGAGGCCAAAGCACCAGGGCCCGCGGCGCGAGGGGGGGCACCACTGCTGGCGCACCCGCGCAAGCTGGCAAGGCGGAGTCGCCAAAGCTGGAGCACCCATCGGGAGTGGCAGGCTCGGGATCTCAACATGGGCCCACGTAGCCCCCCCGAGGGCTTAGAAGTATACAATTCTGGGGGCCTGCAGAGTCTCAGCACTCAGGCGGACTGGCATGTTCCTTGCGCGATGGCTGCGAAGACCTGCGACGGCAGCGCTCGCACCTCCCCCCCGAGGTCGCCGCTGCCGCCCGCATGCCCTGAGGGCCCAAAGATCTGGCGCTCGAGATCCTCGCCAAGGGCCACATTCAAGGCAGCGACATTAGGGATCTGCTGCGGGAGCGGGTCCGTCGGCGGCGGCGGCACCACAGGGGGCGCCGTCAGCGGCGGCGGCGGCGGGGCCATGATGGCCGCTGGCGGGGCTCCAGCAGGCGGCGGCGGCGGGCCCTGGCTGCCGCGGGCCGCGCCAGCTGGAGGGACACTGGCGGCGCGGACGGGAGTGGCACGCGGGGCGACCCCAGCACCACACCCGCCGCCCGTGAGGCTGCCCTCCCGAAGGTTGTGGCGGCGCTCATAGGCCGCCAGTTCCTCGTGCGCGGTCGCTGGGCGCTCCCTCTTGGCATTATTCCGCTGCTTCTCGGTGTGGCCCGCCCACTCTGGATCGTTCAGCCCCCAAGCAACCTGCGCGCACAGGTCGGACCACGTGAACTTGGGCAGGCTGTCCCAAGAGAGCCCCTCCATTAGTACGTAGTGGCCCTCCCGCTGCGGCTGCTGCGGAGCGTAGTGCTTAAAGACGGTGCCCACCGCCAGCGGCTCGACCTTAAGCAGGTGCTTCAGGAGGTCCACGGCGCTGAGCACCGCTACCCCCTCCTTCTTGAGCTTGTCGTAGCGCAGCAGGGCCTTCCAGTCGCGGATGTCCTCCTCGGGGAAGTCCGCGTGCATGTAGTACGCGCGAGGCGGGCTCTGCTCTTCCTCTATCAGCTCGATACAGACGCCGTAGCTGGTCGTGTAGCGCGCACCACAATGACCGTACCAGCGCTGGCCCGTCTCCCCTGCGACGACTACTACTACTACTACTACTACTACTACTACTACTACTACTACTACTACTACTACTACTACTACGACTACTACTACTACTACTACTACTACTACTACTACTACTACTACTACTACTACTACTACTACTACTACTACTACTACTACTACTACTACTACTACTACTACTACTACTACTACTACTACTACTACTACTACTACTACTACTACTACTACTACTACTACTACTACTACTACTACTACTACTACTACTACTACTACTACTACTACTACTACTACTACTACTACTACTACTACTACTACTACTACTAACAATAATAATACTACGACTACTAATACTAATACTACTATTACTACTACTACTACTACTACTACTACTACTACTACTACTACTACTACTACTACTACTACTACTACTACTCTTGCGGTTGCTACTCATCCTGCAAATCTTGCTTCTCAGCGCTGCCATGCCCCACTTTGATAATCCTGCTTGCCCTCCTCCTCCTCCTTCTGGTTTCCTGCTTTTCTCCCCCCCACTCATCCTGTTATTCCATTTCCTCCATTCTTCATGTCTGCGCCAAGAAATGGTCTAGCTACGCGTCGTGGAAGTGGGCGCATCGCTGCCAACTCCCATGGGCTCGGGAACCCTCTTACACTCAGCATGCAACCCAATACGCAGGTCATGGATTCACGTCGGGGTCTAAAATGCTTCTCGGTGGGGGAGCGAATTCCCCCCATCCGGCCTCCCCCTCACACCTACCAGCACGCCCGCCCCCTGGAGGTCTGCGCATTCGATTGCTCGAGAAAGAGCGCACTTATTCTCCCCTTGGGCCCCTCAGCGTCAAGCTTTCCTGCTCTCGGCAATCGTCTCCGCCTTCTCGCACAGGCACGACCGGTCTGGGCGACATACCCGCGCAAGGCAGGAAGGAGGAGGGAGGGGCGCGGGAGCACGCAAGGGGCAGCAGAACCGCGCGGCCTTCATGAGCTGCTCGAGCGGGCTACCGCCTTTGAACTTGCACAGCCAGTCCATCACCACGCACCTGGAAATTAATGGTGGGCGCACGTTATTTTGTTCAACGGGCGATGGTATGCCCATGTGTGCGTGCTGGCACGTGAGCTCCCGCTAAACCAGACTGGCGCTTGAACTCCCTCACGACTCGGGCCGAAAAACTAGGGAGGATGAAAAACAACATAATCGTTATAAGTCCCACCAGCCGTCTGGGCGTAAGTGGTTTAACGAACTTGTGTCTTCTCTGCCAAAACCCCTCTTTTCCCTGCTCGGGGGAGTCTTTTACTACTGCTCCCCATTAATATACAACCCCTCCCCAAGGCGACCAGCAGCCAACCAGGAATGAAGACCCCATGAGGGCCCCCCCCACCAACCCTGTCAAATTAGCCTGGCGAAAAACCGAACCATGTGTAGTTGTGGGCACAGCCGTTGTATGCACCGCATTCGGTGGAGCTCCCTTAGAGGCCGCGAAGCGTGTGAGGGAGGTTCCAAAATGAGCGCGGTGGACGCATGCGAACGCTCGCATTTGGGCGTTCGGTGGGGCTCCATATGATTATGGGGCTGCGAAGCGTGTGAGGGGTGTGCCAAAATGGGTGCGCTGGCCGCATGCGAACGCTGGCATTTGAACCTTCAGTGGGGTTCCTTATGGTGACACGAAAAATGTGAAAGATTTGCAAAAATTGGTCGCGGTGGCCGCACGCGAACGCTGGCATTTGGGCCTTCGGTGGGGCTCCGTGTGCGGCCCCGAAACGTGCGAGGGGCGTGCCAAAATGAGTGGGGTGGGCGCATGCGAACGTTGGCATTTGGGCTGTCGGTGGAACTCCCTGTGGGGCCACGGTACGTGTGAGGGGTGTGCCAAAATGAACGCGGTGGCCGCCTGCGAACGCTTGCATTTGGGCCTTCGGTAGGGGGTTCCCTGTGGGCCAGGAAACATGTGAAGGGTGCGCCAAAATGGGTGCGGTGGCAGCATGCGAACGCTGGCATGTGGGCCTTCGGCGGGGCTCCCTGTGGGGCCACGAAACTTGTGAGGGGTGTGCCAACATGGGCGCGGTAGGCGCATGCGAACGCTGGCATTTGGGCCTTCGGCGGGGCTCCCTGTGGGGCCACAAAACGTATGAAGGGTGTGCCAAAATGAGTGCGGTCGTCGCATGCGAATGCTGGCGGTGGGGCTCTTTGTGGGGCTACGGAACGTGTGACGGGTGTGCCAAAATGGGTGCGGTGGCCGCATGCGAACGCTGGCATGTGGGCCTTCGGCGGGGCTCCTTTGGGGGCCACGAATCGTGTGACGGGTGTGCCAAAACGGGTGCGGTGGCAGCATGCGAGCGCTGGCATTTGGGCCTTCGGCGGGGCTCCCTGTGGGGCCACGAATCGTGTGACGGGTGTGCCAAAATGGGTGCGGTGGCTGCATGCGAACGCTGGCACTTGGGCGTTCGATAAGGCTTCTTATGGGGTCATATGAGGCCACGAAACGTGTGAAGGGTGTGCCACAATGGGCGTAGTGGCTGTATGCGAACGCTGGCATTTGGGCCTTCGGTGGGGCTCCCTGTGGGGCCACGACACGTGTGAGGGGTGTGCCAAAATGAGGGAGGGGACGGGAGAAAGGGCGAGGGAGGGGGCAGCGGGAGGAGGAGCAGGAGGAGGAGGAGAGAGAGAACGCGGGGCGCTGTCTCTTCAAAACGAAGACCCTACACTCTACACCACAGGATGGGTCGGAAAAACCATTCAACATACATTTTGAGGCAAAATCCGGAGTCATGTTCGTGAGGCCCGCGAGCAGTTGGTATTGCTTCCTGACAGGAACTGCGGGGTGCCAGCATATGTCCCAACCATCCTGTGGTGTTGGGACCTCGGTTTGAAGAGACGGTGCCCCGCGTTCCTCTCCTCTCCTCTCCTCTCCTCTCCTCTCCTCTCCTCTCCTCCTCTCCTCCCCTCCTCTCCTCCTCTCCTCTTCACCCACCCAGTACACCGCTTCGTGGCTCCATAGGGAGCTCCACCGAAGGCCCCAGTGCCCGCGCCCGCATGCGTCACCCACACCCATTTCGGCACACCCCTCACACGCTTCGTGGCTCCATAGGGAGCTCCACCGAAGGCCCCAGTGCCCGCGCCCGCATGCGTCACCCACACCCATTTCGGCACACCCCTCACACGTTTCGTGGCTCCATAGGGAGTTCCACCGAAGGCCCCAGTGCCCGCGCCCGCATGCGTCACCCACACACATTTCGGCACACCCCTCACACGTTTCGTGGCTCCATAGGGAGCTCCACCGAAGGCCCAGTGCCCGCGCCCGCATGCGTCACCCACACCCATTTCGGCACACCCCTCACACGCTTCGTGGCTCCATAGGGAGCTCCACCGAAGGCCCCAGTGCCCGCGCCCGCATGCGTCACCCACACACATGTCGGCACACCCCTCACACGCTTCGTGGCTCCATAGGGAGCTCCGCCGAAGGCCCCAGTTGTGGCAGCAGCACGAGCAAACGAATGTTTTGCCTTGAGCCACAGGTACGGACACAAGCGCACTCTGTCAAAGATCCCCTGGATGAAACATCACGCTAAACCTATTCGTGAAAATCTAGACCCTTGTCACACGGGTCAGAATTTCTCCTAGGTTTAGCACCCTTAAATATCGGCTAGGATAAGCCACAGTGCGCTGTCCTGCACCCAGAACAGTAGCGTACTCGACCCCTGCTTCGAGACGCTCAAACAAAAGAAACAAAGCGGAGAACATTAAGAGGCCAAAACGGCGATGGCAGACAGAGCGGAGATTACTGAAAGACAGATGCCTGCAAGTCGGCGGGAGCTGTCGGGGAGGGGGAGAGAGGAGAGGTCGGGAAACCACCACCACCGTCACCGGGCTCCTCCAGCGACACCGACTGGACGAGAAACTCCTTCCACGACAACATAGCCAATGCCCGACGGGAAGCTGCCTGCGACCTGTCCTTGAGCTCAGGCTGGTCCTTCCTCCTCATCACCTCCTCCTCCTCGTCGATGAGACACAGACGACCATGCGACATCAGGTCGAACAACGCTGCGCTGCTCTTGGTGATATCGCCCTTCGTGAGCGAGTCGACGGGCACGCGCCCGTGGGGAATCCATCGAACTCTTCCTTGAGCACGCTCCAGCGATTCACTGATGATCGCCAGATCTAGAGCTATACGCCGGTCTCTGGCGCTGGCGTTGCCCTCTTTCTGCACGGTATCGTAGATCGACTTCGCGTCCACGACGTGCACCTGTCTCTCTCTAGAGCCCAAACGGCAGTCTCGCCGAAGGACCGTAGTGAAGGGCCCCGCGGCTCGGAGGCAGTCGGGAACGTCCACGTCGCGAAACACCACGTCGCGGTAGAGCACCTGCAGGTACTCTACCTCGGCGACAGCTGCTGTGAGAGCCTGAGTCTCTCCCGCCAACGTGGAGGGAACCTTCCTCCTGAGCTTGCAGGACCGCCATCCCAGGATGGAGGCCTTGACGGAACGATTGTCCAGTAGTGATCTGTCGGTGGCCAGCACCATCCACGCGCCCTGCGTCGGATCGGCTGGCAGTCCCTTGTCATCTGTCAAATCCTCCGAAGCTCCGACACCGCCTGCGTCCGAGAAGGACACGAACGCCATACGGTCGGGGTCCAGCTTCCAGAGAATGATTCCTCTCGAGGCCGTTCCCCTCAGATGCTTGACGAGCTTGTTAGCTAGTGCCACATCGGCCACGGTTGCTGCCTTCAGGCGACTAGCGAGGACGCTTGCGATGCCAGCCGCCTCGGGGCGAGCCTCTCGGCCCACCCAGTTGAACTTGTATACTAACGATCGTAGAGCTCGAAACTCTTCATTTTCCAGCAAACTACGCTTGTCCGAGAGGCGACCTCGGCCCAATGTCAAAGGACGAATCTCCTCCAGAATATATTTCTCCTGGTCCACGGTAGCTCGGTCGCTCAGGAAAGTCACCCGACGGCCCGCAAAATCCACTGGGCCAGAATGACAATCACGATACTTGCCGAACTTGAATCGAGCCTCCAGCGTCTGTCGCAGCCAGGCTCGAGACTTGCTGTCCGAGCTCCCTATGAAGAAATCATCCACCTCGAGCAGCATCATGTTGAGTATCTGGCCATTCTTTCCGTAGCGCAACCACCAGCAGGGTTCCAGAAGACTGCGAACGAACCCGTGACTCTCTAGATACTTGACCACTGTTTTTCGCCACGCCATGGGAGCATCGTCCAGCCCATACACGTTGACCAGTAGTAAAATCAGCGATCCAGAAGGTAAGCTGGTGCCGTCGCACGGTTCTACATATATATGTCCCTGCGCTCGTGACATGGGGTCTGATTGACAGAAGGCGTTCTTCACGTCGGCTATGTCACCTAGCATAGACAAGTTCAGCATAACCTGCATGAACATCATGATGGACGAGGTCTGTGGTGTGGGCGCATACACTGCTAGAGAGCCGGACTCTGGATCCCGATGGCCATGAACACACCACCTGGATTTCGCCGTCGGCTCCGTGAACGTGCCTTCCACCGGCTTCCACCTGCGGACCATCCGACTGGAGATGATACCCTCTGGCTGCTCTCGACGAATCACAGCTGCCTTTTCCGGGGGAATCACCTCAACAGCTCCTGTCTTCATGATACTCTCCATTTCCTTGCTGTCTGAAGCCCGAAACTTCTCTCGCTCTTCGGGACTAAGACGCTTCATGTTGACTTCCCCGGACCGCCCGGCGGCAAACACACCCCCATCCTCGAGACAGTCACCAGACCATTCGGCCCCCTCCTGGCTCAGAGGCCTCACTCGCACTCCATGTCCTTCTGGCCGTACCCAGAAGTATTCTTGGAAACCCTCGACTCTCTGGGGAGACCTGGACCTGGTCCTGATTCGATCCTCGATTTCCTGAACTCTCTCGGCCACGGAGGCCCTGGGCCCCGTCCCCACCACCACCGGTCCCCGCTCCACGGTTCCTGGAAGTCCCGGGGGAAGTTCGACACTGGGGGGAGACAGAGGAGGTGCGGGGTCTGCTGGCGACTCCGCAACGCTTGGTGGGGTCTCCTCGA